CTGTCAGTGTCAGCAGCAGCAGCAGAACCAGCAGACTGACAGACTGGTGAGTCGGCCAGTCCAAGCCCTGACGAGGGCTGGCTCTGCACCAGAGACTCGGTTCTACATGAAGAAGGCAACGAAACACTCATTGCTGTGCAGGGTTTTCCCATTCTCTTTGAGGCTGCAATCGTGCATCACTGACTGGTCTGTTGTACACAGTGAGCTTGCCTGAGAAATGACTGGCTGCCAGCAAGCTGGCCTCCAGTCTACAGTCAAACTGTCGTCCAGAGTTGCTTCCATGTCGGCTAGCCTTTTTAAGTTTCGGGTCTCGCGAGTTGCGGGCACAGCAAAACCAGTGGCCAGGAAGAGCCAAACACAGCGTCACTGCAGCTCATCCTAAAGACTTTCAGCCCAAAAGCGCTGTTCACTAATGGCCTACCTAGTAGACGAGTCGGCTTCTGCTACCAGAGTCTGCTTCACAGCTCGAGCAGACGTGAACGTCAAGCGCTCATCGTTGATCTTGTCCCGAACCTGCAAGGCGAGGTCACGGTGGTTGTAGTGCTTGGTTGCAGGGAACTCAGCGATGAGACGAAAGTGGCCCTTCGGGCTGCTCTTCGCTTGCACGTAGGAGCGTTTGGGCGCAGTGGCCGTTGTCACTCTGGCTTGCAGGAGTGGCTGCTCCGGCACAGACACACCAAACGAGGCGGCCGGACGCTTCCGGGCCTGACCGGCTTTTGCAGCAGCAGGGCGCTTCATCTTGGAGCCCTTCTTCACAGAAGGCTTCAACTCCTGGCCCTCAGCCTTCTTGTTTTGAGAGGAGGAAGAAGACAGCGGAGCCAACCGACGAAGGGGCGCAGTGTCCCGACCCGCCTTCGGGGTCTGCGTAGGAGTGCCCACAGGCTCGCCGTCAGAGTCCACGAGAAGCTGCTTTGGTGTCTCGAAGCCACCAGGTAGCACCTAGCAGCAGCAATATGACATGCATGGGTTTTGTTTCTTCCGCCAAGGGGTTGTTTAGGGTTTAGCGCAAAAGAAAACTAAATGCTCCACCCAAGCCTGGGTGGGGGAATTAGACCCCACTGAGTCTGGTAGGTCAACTTGGCTCTCCTCGCCCATCTGCTCGCCGGGAAATTGGCCATCTTCAAGAGAGCACGCCATGAACTTGAACACTTGGGCGGGGCAGGGGACTACACACGGAGCCACAGACTGGGACTGTCCTGGAGTCCAGGACCGTGCAAGAAATTCAAATCATGGTCTAAGACTGCTGACAAACTGCCCTGCTGACTTAACTTCTTGGCTGCCAGCAAGCTGGCCGCCAACCAGACCCTCATGTTCACTGCCATCGCGTGAGACCTTCGCAGCCTCAGCGCGCTAAAGACTTTTCAGTAGATGTCGAGGTTGGACTTGTACATGTCTGAGCAGACACAAAGAAACGCAACTGAATCTCTGAGAAGGAGATGCTCGAAGACTTTGTCTGAGAACCAATTGACATCTCTCACCACAAGCCGGAACAAGGGGCCGATTGCCCGCGGGGTGTCAAGGGCCACGTAGTTTCGCCAGGCACGCAAAAGCAGCAGCATCTCGAGTTGGCGGCGTGCTGTGCTCGAACTCGCATGTGCCAGCATTGATTGATTGAGTCGGCTATTCTGATTAGCAGGGTATGATGGCTTGAGAACTGCCTGCGGGGAAGAGGAAGTAAAATTGAAAGCAGACTGTGTTCGCACTTTGTGCATGAGCAACTGGAGACTCAAGGTCTTGTTTTCACTAGAGCCATGCTTTCACACTGCAGCAGCAGGACGTGCTCGTGCCCTGGCCTTTGCCCGGCGCTGCTCGGGATTGGCACCGGCTGCATCTGCAGCAGCAGGTCGTGCTGCAGCCGGTCGCTTCAAAACCCGCTTCTGCACACGAACTGCCCGTGGAGCTGCTGCTGGGGTTGGAGCAGCAGGCTGGGCGACAACTGGATCTTCAGTGGCCTCACGGCAGCGACTCTCAAACAATGCCTGCAGCACAGGTGGTTGGCCACAAAATCCTGCTTCGTTCTCGTCGCACAGTTTCCGGAGCCAGGCTTCGCCTTTGAATAAATTCCAAGGGTGCTGGCCGATCAGTTGTGCAGTCTTTCGAAACTCCTTCAACTGTCTCGGAGGCAGCACATTGCGAACTGCTGGCAACAAGGCTTGCGTTGTCAGCCTTTCAGACAGGCAAGCCGGCATGAAAAGCTGCGGTGCCTGGGACTCCACAGGGCTTGAAATATAATGCTTCAGGCAAAGGATCACGTCGTCAGGATGTGGGGGCCAAGCTTTCCAGTCCTCATGGTAGCATTCAATGCTTTGCGGTTCTGGATGATCTTGCCGGCGCACAAACCGCCATAGATGATTTGCTTCAGGCTCCAGCTTGGTCGCTGTCAAGCCACGGACATGCATGTCAGCGGTTTCAAACCACTGCTGAAAATCACGAGTGCCAGACAGGTGCTCGCAAATCACTTCTCTGCCTTGGAAGGGGCGCAAATTTTTCTGCAAATATTCCAAGAATTCATCATCGTCTTCCAGAGCTCCGGCATCACTCAGAAGACGGGCAACCGACGAAAAGCGTTGGTCTAGTTCGTTCTTCGTGTGTCCTGCTTGCATGTACTGAACCTCGACTTGGTCGAAGCAACGTAGAAGCAGCAGTGTAGCTGAAAATTGAGCAAAAAACGTATTTTTTGCTTCGCGAGTGGTGTTGTCCACTGAAAGCACCAGACTCCTCGGTATGCAAGCACTTCCTACACGGGCAGTCAACAAGTCCAGCGCCCGGCTAAGCACAGTGGCTTCCATATTGCTGTCCTTGGGCTGGCTGTGCGCAAGCAAGAAAAAAGCGTCGAAATGCCCGAAGCAAGTGCAGCCCGTAAGGTGCATCTGGGGCCTCCATAGCTCGATGCTGGAGCCTGCCAGTGTCCCTTGCGGCCTGGGACACCTGAATTTGGCTTGGTCCATACCATCTATCTGCATTTTAAGAAAAGCTATCTGCGAAAGCTGGCCACTGGCCCGCACTTGCTCTGCTGCTCTCGAAGCCAAGACATTCCCGCGCACATTGACGTTCCTGTCTGCCATCGCTTGTCGCACATGAGCGGCTTTCTGCTTGCCAATCTCCAGAAACTCGGCCTTGCACGACGCAGTCTGAAGAGCCTCATCAAAGTATGCACATGTCTTGCATCGTTGCCCTGTTCCTTCATTCTTCATCTCCAAATACATCTTCCATCGCTGACGCCAGCAGCGACCAAAAGTACTTTCACTTGCAAACGCATGACTGCCACTTTCTTGGACATAGAACAAATACAGTGATTTCAACGTTTGTGGGTTGAGATGCCTCTTGGGCACCACATGGTTGCTGCCTACAGCAACGCTGAGGGACCACAAAGGGTGATCCGAACTGCCAACAGCTTCATGCTCCACCTGCGACTCGTTGGGGGCTTTGCCCTCTGTTGGCATAGGCTCACCCAGAGCCATGTAAAGCTCCAGAAACCATGCATCCGCATGCCAAAACTGCTGCTTGTCTTTCTGTCGTGTTGCAGGCAACCGAGCGGGCGGAGCAACTGCGCCTGCCAGAATACTCTTGCGAAACGTATCGACAGTTTGCGGAGTTACGACATGTACATGCTGCCACAAAGCACGACAAACGACGTGGCCTCGCACTTTGTAGCAAACAGTCTGGATGTTTCCATCTGTGCTTCTCTCTGCTGCATCCCTCAACGCAGCGAACACACGAACATGCCGCTGTTCAGTGTCCAGTCTTTCCATGTCTAACCGTTGCTGCTCGAGCACCCCAGTCGGCACCAAAGTCAAGCAGCCACGCTTGCAGCGGCACTTGGACTGCCAACTGCCAGCTTCGGGGGGAAGCTCAACATCCCCATCGTCAGACACAGAGTCTCCAACAGGCAAAGAAATGTCAGAATGGCTGCCCACATCAGAGGGCAGTGACACAGGGCTGTCTGGACTTGCACATGCCATGGGATGTTTTGACGTGATTAGAAAGACGATGACTGTTCTGAGGCTTTGATTTGCTGCTCTGCATACGTACAGAAACATGTTGCTCTGAGTCGGTCGTCATCGCCATGTAAACAGTTCAAAGGCTTCACAGAGGCGACACTGAGCTGCAGCATCACCGACGGACAAGCCTGGATGTGCCTACCAGCAAGCTGAGCTGGCAGACAGTGACAGGGTCAACCTTCTGTTTGCCATGTACATGCATGCTTCATTGTTCTGTTTGCACTCAGCTCACGAGCTTGGAATATGTTGTTTCACAAAGCCACCCCTTAGCCACAGTCCTAAACCACAAAAACAGTTCCAAGCTTTGAATTCTCAAAATGCTAAAACAACGCAAAGCTCGTAGCAAGTTTCGGTGTAGGATTTTAGGGT